TTACGAGTCTTGACTCCTGCTGCCCCCTAACATTCTGGTATTTCTAACGAATTAAATGTTTTAATTATAGAAAATATTAAATTTGGTAATTTGATTGCAAAAATATTACGCTTTATGTAAAAAAAAAAAATGCAAGCAATTTTGATCAATTAAAAAATGGCATATTATTTAAAACAATTTACATTTTTTTTAATCTTTTTCACGCACAAATTTATGGAATTTTTTTATCTCACTATCAGCTTTATTGTAAAATTGTATTTGCCATCAAATTTCTTCTGTTGCAGTTGAGCCAGAAAATTACACACTCTTTTTTTTTTTAAATATATTCAAGAGTTCTTTTGCGATATTTGATAGAGTGCAGAATTATGATTGTTTCCTTTTCCGGAACCCTCCTTGATGTATTCCTTATCGATTGATCTGCTAAATTATTGTATGCAAATACCGCAAACGGCTCTGTCGCGGTAATCTAAAATCAATGCAGGAAATATGGCGGATCCGCCGGCGGCTGCTGCGTCCAAATGATTTCCCGTTGAACAGCACGTCTGGAAAAAGCGCAAATGTTGACATAAAAAATAATAAGAAAAGTGGCGAAGGAAAAAAAGCTGGAGGCGGAAAAAATTGGGGAAAAACTTTCGCCGCTCCCGAGAAATACCTTTCAGCGAAATAATCCATTACATTGAAAAATAATTTGGCAAGGACGGCTGCTCTTCTCTCTTGTTTTAAAACGCAGAAAAAAAAGAGGGAAAGAAAAAACAAGAGCGTGCATTTGTCTGCGGAGATTGTAATTGAGGGGTGCTGGCAGGCGGATGAGAAAAAGAGCAGAGTGTTTTGCGACGTAAGAAAATGGAAAAGATGAGATGATGACAGGATTTTTTAACGCTTCCCGGCCTGCGGGCGATGATCAAAAATATTATACTTCCCTCTATAAAGAGCCTTGAAAAAGGAATAAGCCCCTGCCAACGTATGCAACCGGTGGAGCACTACAAAGACGGTGGGTCGCGAGGGAATTGACCCCACGGCCGGTCAGAGGTGAGCGTAGGTGCGATAATGCCCTATCGGCCATTAGCCAAAAAGCGGCTCCCTGATGCCCACACACACTACAAATTGGCTTTGCCCGGTTGATGTTGGGAACACGCAAAGAGCCGCTCCGCACCTCAATGAACCGCAAAGTGGACCTCGTGATTTTATTACCAGCCTGCCAAATTGCGGGCGTTGATTTTCACTGCTGCTGATCGATGCTTGTGTTGACGAGTTAATTGACTCTGACGTTTGTTTGGGCTCGCTTTGTACACCGGTTTATCAGTAAACAAATCAGGACACACATTCCTTTGATGTGTTACGGGAATATAAGTATCATGAATGCAAACGAAATTTTCTGATTATTTGATTGATTTGCCAACTTTTTTAAAGTAGAAGTGTATAAGAAAGTTATGCCAAAACTAAAATAAATTTAAAAAATTAATTGTATAATTTAGATTGATCATCTTAGAATCCACAATATTATTTATAAAATATTATTGTTCTACTCATTTCTACTCTCCGCAATCCTTTATTTCGTTTGTGCTACGTGAGATAATTTTAATTCACACATATACTAATCTATATTATGTATAATATTTTTCAAACATGAATATGAACTATACGAAGATAATGATAGCCTAAAGAGACGAAATCTCTAATAAACATCTCACAGTAGTCTTGCATCTTATTTTTATTTATATACGTAACATTAGAAAAAATTGTAAATGGTTAATTTTCATTTTTAAATTATCAGCTTCAATATTATAATTTCAAAAAATAGATAAAATAGTACATTAAATTTATTTTGTAAAAGGTGGAATGATCAAAAAATTATGTCAAATATGATAAATTAATAATTAAATAATATTAAAAAAGATTGAGATTTTAATAAAAGTCGTGACAGAGTTTCTCCTTTTTACAGCAGAAGCAAATATGAGCCTAGGCAAAATTGCTCGGATGGCGTTGAGAGATAATCCTGTAATTTCATCAAAGCAGCCCGACTGATCACTTTTTGCAGCACCGCTCTCTTATCGTCGTCAGCGTCGTCGGTCGGTGACGACGGCACGTTTCCATAGTTACAACAACTAATAATACTCGATCATGACGACCCTAAAGTGACCAACAGTCGACACACCGCTCGCGCCACCCCCGTATATATTCCTCCCCGTAGACGGGCGCGCTCTCTATAATATTCGTTCTTCGCTGCAATAATAATGCCGTGATGATACTGTGCCGCCGAGCAAAGTACAACTTGGTATATACAAGCAGCACGCCAGCGAGTGCAGGAGCGAAGGGGATAATGGAAGAGATCATCTCTTGTGATGTCGCGCACATACACACACACCCAGTGGCAAGAACTAATCAATAACATTACGGTCTGCAGTTGATGAGAAATTATAGATATTATTATCGCTCGCCTGCTTCTCTCTCGCTCTCTCTCTCGCTGCCCGACGAGTTGATGTGGCCATCTTGGATTTCCATTTGTTTGTTAAGGGGGAATCCATAACGGGGTCTCTCTCTCTTTCTCTCTCTCGCTCGCTCGCAATTAGAGATATAAATTTTATCTGCGGCTCGCATTATGAAACGTGCGGGGTGTGTTTTTTGATGCGGGGCGCCTCGCTCTCTCTCTTATTATTGCCCAGCAGCGCCGCATTTCTTTGTTTATATGCCGACGCGTATTAGCCGAAATTGGAGAATTTATGGCGATACTTTCGCATCGATGCTCCTCCCCGGCACCGAAAAACTGCTAATGCCTCTGCTTTGTTTGCAGTCCTGTGCTGCCGCCTCGTTCAGCTAATGTTTTTTGCTCCAAGGTTTATGGTAATACGGGATGGACGGCCTAAATCACAAAAACCAATGGTGTTGGATAGACAAATGTTAAGAGGATTTCATATAATTTCAAAATAAATAAATTTAAATAATCTGAAAGTTAAAAATGATAAAAGTTGAAAAATTTATTGAAATTTTGTTTCAAAATTTGAAAGGAAACGTATAGCATAAATATGAATCTTGATTAATAAAAAATAATTATTTTGAAAGTATCATTTTTAGCATATTCTAGAAAAATAATTAAATCTGCGGGAAGAAGCGAAGAGAAGGAGAAAAACCAAAAATATTTTTATATCATTTATAAAAACTGATGAATGAGATTAGGCTATAATATTAAAATAATCAGATAATTCTAATATTTATACTTTCATAAATCAAAAGCATAATTCCAAATTTGGGATTAGAATAAAAGAGAGAGAAAAAATTCCAAATATTTTCCCTCAACACGTTCAATAAATTGTTAGCAGATATCAAAATTTTTATATTCCCTCTGAAACAATTCAATAAAATTTAACCGATCCAAATTTTTTTTATATATGAAGAAAAACGTATATATAATGATGGTGTTTAAAAATTTAAATATATGTCTTTCAGTAATTGTAACAATTTCCGAAGTAATTTCTCTTTACATCCAAAATTTGGCCCACTCAACATGACTTTCTGCTCATTGAACAAGAAAACCCCCGACTCTGGAAATCGTTTGTTGGTCAGTCGTTCGTCGTGATTAGGACAGACAAGCGGCGGCAAACTTCATTCGGTCGGAAAGAGAGCGTCGATCTCGCTTGGCCGAGAAAAAGGGCAATCTCGACTTTCCCGCACCCTATCTATATTATATTGTTGAAAATCTCCAGCACGTTCCATCGCTTGACGCGCTCTTCGATTTTCACTCTGCTTCGGCCTGGCGTCGTGTGTTTATTTAATCCGTTATGGGCACCTTTTATAAAGTTTAATTAATATTGTCACTACTTAATGCTACTTTATTTTGATTAGATTTTTGCAGCGGTAGCGGCGACGACGTTCATTGGAAACGAGACTATACGAGCCGAGGCAATATAATCAGATCTCTCTGCTCCCCGGCAGGCATTAAACTTTCATTACATAATCAAAAGCCGCCGCCACCGCACCCAACTCTCTCCACCACTTTTTTTTTTCAAATTAATTCATGAAATATTTATAGATTAGTTACGCCGGCCCGAGAATTATTGACAGCCCTGCTTTTTATATTCGTTTCTCTGTGCTTTTGCTTTTTTATGGCCCTACGCGAATAAAAAGTGGCAACATCAACCCCTTCGTTTTGGCAGAGGGTGCAAATGAAGCGAGGTCATCAAGCACACTCCTCTCCGATATTTACAAATGCGAATCTGTCGGTGGCAATGTGTGATTGTCTCGTTGCGGCGGGTTCGCCAAATTTGTCAACTTTTGCGGCTTTGGTGGTGTAGAGGGGTAAAACCAACCCCCAGCTCTAAAGTGCATTATTTTTCCCAATGACGTGCTTTTTAAGTCACAGTTTTAGTTGCGATTTTTTTTATCAATACTTAATTCGGAATATTGTTTTTTTTAAATATCACACCGAAATCTCCAAAATCAGGGGGAAATAAGTGCGAAGCAAAAAAAAAACTCAGCAATCGTGTCACTAAATTGAGTGTTAAAGCAGCTCTTTTTTTAATGCTTATTTTCTAGACATAAAAACGCTTAGCGAATTGCTTTGGCAGTTTTCTTAATTTTAATAAATTCATGGTTTTGCGGTTAAAAGTTAGGCAGAATTATTTTTAAAAAAGAAAGTAATTTTAAAAATATTTTCAAATATTCGGTCAGAACTTTCATCCAAAACATCTTTATTAAAATAATATTTTCAAAAAAAAATCCAGGATTTTTTATGTGTCATCTTATAAATAAGCTATATCACTTAAATATTTTAAGTATCAGGTTTTACTCACTTAAATTCAAATGACGTCTAACTGATTTACTTTATCTTTTGTGATAATGATAGATCTTTCTCCATTAAATCTTATTAACATGTACTTAAATCAAATCGAACATGCATACAACTTTATAACAGATTTTTAAAATTTTAATATGTGAAAAAATTATGTTTTAATTTTATGCTTATTTTGTATTAATTCTGAATTATTCAATAATATTCAATAGCATGATATTGCCAGACTACTTTATTGATAATAGTTTGCTCACTGCATTTTTAAGGCTTGTAACACTTCTCTGGAAGTTCGCAGATGATGTGGTAGAACAGTTCAGCACGAATATCATACAAAGTGGCATTCTTGAGTACCACAGCGGTTCGCTCAACTCCACCAGCCTCATTGGGTTCTCCGGCGGTGAAAAATTCCAATGGCACTGGCTTTCCATTGCTCCAGGTGTAAATGCCTTGGATTTCATCGTAAAACCCAGAAGTCCAGTAATTTGCTATGTAATATTTTTTCTTCAAATGATTGAGTTTTTAATAATTTCCCATTGTTTAATACCTCTTTGACTTCCAGCTGTTGCATCCCAAACAACTTGCATTTCCTCAACAGAATCAAAAGTGACCTGTTCTAGCCCAAAGTTTTCGCAAAATAGGCGCGTTTCATTCCACGTAGGCTTTGAATTTTAATCAATATCATGAAAAGCAATGGAAAATTGACTTTCTAATTACTCACAAAGCTTTTGTCGTCAATATAGTACTTTCCGGTTGACAATTCCACCATTGGGTGAGGAAGGCCTTGTCCTATTATACAAGATTTTTTATTAAAATGCTCGTTTTTAGTGATGATGCAGCCTACCTGCATGATTGCAGTTGATTTGTGCTAGAGACGATGTAATCCCTATGTAAAGTAGAGCAATGAGAGAGAAAAGTACCTTCATCTTTGGCATTCACCTCTGATGTCAATATAGAAATATGTGCTTGTTAATAATCTTCAGCTCTTTCAAGGATGATATTACGTCGCTTATTGAGTGGCTAATCATTATCAGTAAAACAGCCAGGTCATCATCAAGTGATTTTAAAATTTAATTTTCACAAGATTGATATGAAACAGAAAAAACTTGCTTTGCTCCTCGCTCTTAGCTTTATTTGAAAAAAAAAAATATGTTTTTTTATTATTACATAAACTAAACATTTAATTATTAGCACTTTTGCTGGTCAAATTTTTGTGTGATTTAATCGGATCTTATCAAATATCAATAAAAGTGTTTAGTTGTTACCTGCTGATTAAAAAGTTGACAATTTTATTGATTGTGATTGCAATGCTCACCTGAGATTCTTTTTTATCTAGCTGGTGAGCGAAAGGGGGCTGTCATCGGACGATCATCGTTTTTGCACATGGAGCCGGTGCTTGAATTGGGGGGCTGTGTAATATGCAAATCGACGGCGCACTCTGAATACGAGAGATTTTCACATCGACACGCACACGCGTGAAACAGGGCGTCGCGCGTTTTTATATTTGCCGCTTTTATTACAATTCTCGATGATACTCGAGAGATTATTTATTCAGCAAAGTGTCAAACCAGATTCGTTTTGCAGAGGCAATAAAAAAATGCTGTACACACACTCGAATACATAACACACAGCCCAGAGCATGAATGTGACAAAATGACGGCACTCTCAATTGAGAGCGGCTGTAAATCTCGGCTTTTAATTTTATTTTTCAACCCCGCAGCCGCCGGGAGGGAAATAAATAAATGCGGATGGAAGAGTTTGTAGCGCCAAGATTTGGCAATCTCTTATTAACCAAAACTTGGTTTATATATTATGTATGATGAGGTTTAAAAGCTTGAATCAATATCTAATATTTGATAAATTAATCATGGAATAAATTTTGCTTTACACTTCACATTTGACTATACCATCCAATCTTCAAGGTAGTTACCTTTTACTGAGCTTCGAAATTTCTTTCTCATTGCATGGTATATATGTATATTATTTTTTTTATAGATAATAACTAGATAATGATTAATAAATTAAATAAAAAAATTGTACCGAAAATTATATAATTTAAAAAATAAAAAAATAATTAATAAAATTATAAATATGATATTTGAAAGGTTAAAGATTTTTTTTTAAATTATAATAAAAAATTTGACTATTTAATAAAAGTTAGATTGTTAGTATTAGTTTTGCTTACGAGCTCAAACGTGCTATACATAATTATAATTTTTGAAGGGGAACAGTGTACATTTAATTTATATGCCGTTTAACAATGCAATTAATCATGAGGCATAACTTCAGAATTTGAAAAAAATTAAATGTGATTTTTTTAATCAAAGGAGCATTTTATATTTGCCTCAAGGTCTGTAATCTTATAAACAATTTTCATTTGAAAACCAATAAATTAGGTAAAAGTAGATAAAAAAAAATTTAACGAGCTTGCTTGATAACCGCTGTTGTCAATTTAATATTTATTTGAAAAAAAAATTAAGTGCGTCAAAGTCGTTACACGCAGTGGCGTCAAAAGTGGCATATTAAATTGAAAATTCTGTGCGGTGGAGTGCGTGTGTGCAAAAGTACCCAATGGAATCGGTGTGAATGGTTCGCAAGTGATTACACTTCAATTTGCCATATGCGAGCGGCCGGCTGCTGCATGACGGGTTGAAAAAGTGAGCAAACCAATGTCACGATTCAATTATCACAGCCGCAATATCGCGAAAGAGTGCTCGGATTAAAAACACGGTTGGCGCGGGGGAGAGTTTTGTGTTAATGCCACTGGTCGGGCGTATTTAGTTCACGTTTGAATAACCTGTCAAGTGAATTATTATTAAAACTGTGCATACGCGCGTATCCCCTGTCATTTGAAAAATATAACAAAATTCACCACGGCGAATATAAAACTGCGGGGCCGGACGAACGCGTCCGTCGCTCCGATGTATTAAATATATTCGATTTTACACGAGCGCATGTAGGTGCCCGTGCCGTATGGAGAGGGTATTAATTTATGGATGTGTCATATTGCGCGCATCACATGGTTAACTTGTTTTTATAAATTCCGTATCATCACTTCAGCACGGCGTTCAAAAGTATTTTTTTTCACATAGCACTCTCTGCTGCTGTTTGTGAACGTATGTGTGCTGATATTTATTATTTTTATTTTTTCACTAAATCAAACTGCTACTCTGGTCTGTATTTCTGCAACTGTCTGATGTGTCGTGTATTTTATTATTTCATGCTCACTGCGGATGGCGTTTTTTGTTCGAGTGTTCGCGCTGCCGCCGCCGACTGAGTGCTATCGACTGTATTTCCAACTGGCGATGGTCATTGACATAGACACAAACTGTATACACAAAGTCCCATTTGTAGGTTTTCATTTAAATTCTGTGTACAAAATGAGATGGAAAAACGGCAGAATGTTTCTTCTTCTGTTTCAAATTTTTTTTATGTTTTTTAAATAAGTTACACAAATTAAGTGAGCTTAAATTTTCAATTAAAATTCAAATTTCTAATTTTATTTTTAATCTTTTTGTTTACTTTTCTTTACCAATTGAATTACAATTTCCAACAATCATGAGAAGAGATTAAGGTTTTTGCCACTAGGAAATGAAAAATGCAACCTGCATAGCATCTACGTAGATCAAGTTGCATATTGTTTGAAAGCATCTATTGTTGTTGCAATGCACTTCCTGCGTAGTTTCTTTTAGTGTTGAGCAGGTTGCATATCCTATAATTCCTGACAAAAGGACATAACATTAATTTAAATAGAAAATACTTACAAAAAACTCGTACATAATATGGTTTTGCCAAAAGATGAATTAAAAATTCAAATACCATTTTAAATTGCAATTATGACTTCTGAGTCCAAAAAATTGGCAAAAATAATGGCCTGATTTGAATCAATCATAAATCATATATAAAATTTTTTAGCACCATAACATCTTAATTTAATGTATTGATCAAAAGAGGTGCAAAATCTCTAGCTACATCAGATGATAAAAGATAAAAATCTTGAACCTTTTCAGATGTTCGTGATCAAGAAAGCTCTTTACTTTCCTTTTCCATGGCAGGCTAAGTGCGACTTCTTTCCGTGTTTTTTCCCTTTTCCGTCGTTGCACGGCCATAAATTTGTAAGTAACGCGCGAGGCATTAGCTGAAGCACACGCACGTTCATTCGGCGCGCAATAAGTCTATAGAGTGAGCATTATGACTTCCCGCTAGTTCTCTCTCTCCTAAAAAGAATGTATTGCGAGTGATCTCTTTTCGGGCACATAAACAGAGAGCGTGGCCGGTAGTAGAAGAAGAAGTGCTGCTCAGCTTCTGATGACCAAACCAACTTTTATTGGCAAAGTTGCGCTAAATCCAAATGGACCCACTTTTGCTACCTTCGGACGAGGGCAGAGGGCTTTTTCATCGTGAGTGAGAAAAGCCATCAATGCGCCTCGCTGTTTTCCCTTTCACCCCCCAATATCATCCAAGCCCAGCTTTTGTGCAGGCACGTTATATGGCGCCCGAGACATTTATAGTTTTTGCTATAAATTTAATTATATTTTTATCAAATTGTGATAGGTTTATTACATGACAATGGCACCTTCTGCAATATCCAGCGTGTGCCCTTGGTGATGATAAAAATAATGATTGATGGCCTATTTTATGATTCTGGACGGTCCTCCTATATTGTGTGCAAACTTTGCTTTATCTCGGGGTGTTTTTCGTTGCTTTACGCTCCACGACCTTTCAAATCGATCAATCGGTGCTTTTTCTTATTATCTTGCTTACTTAATGAGAAATGATAAAAATATATGCAATTTAATAATTAATATTAAAATATATTTAAAAAATTTAATATTTGAAAATAATGTATATGTCTTTTTTTAACTCGATCAGCCTTTTTAGTTTAAGGAAATTTAAAATTAAGAATTGTGAATAGAAAACACAAATTTGAACTTTTAACTTGTAACACTTTTGCCATTTGCTCATGCAAAAAAAAGATGCAGCGTAGTTTCAATTCTTTGTCCCCTCACATTTTTTCGCAGCAACGGCAGCGACCAAACGAAGCAAACAAATTAAAAGTTCGCATTGCACGTTTGAAATTCTAAACGAGCGCGAGACACTCGTCGTAACTCAATTCGGAGGGCGCGGACCTCTTTTTCCTGTTCGCATCCACTGCTGCTTTTTTTTCTTTTTTTACTCGAATCGCCACAAACAGCGACCGGAATTATCGTAGCTGGTGGTGCCTGCGGAAGCGAGCGACGCGGACTTTCCTTTCCTTTTTTTGTGATTATTTAATTCAATTTCACCCCTTTGGACTTTGAGTTCGCTAATTAGAGATTGGGCAATAAAAGAAACAACGGTGGCGCGCGTGTGTGTGTACAAGCGCGGCTCATTGTTTTTCATTCTTTGTCAGCAGCCGTCCGCCTCTTTCACAAAGAAAATAAAATAAAAATTACAATTAGGTTTTTTGTTTCAGCAGGCAGAGAGAGAGAAGCATTGCAGTTCAAATACAAATAAAACAAAACGCGCGACAGACGGCGAGCAGAAAGAGAGCGAAAACGAAGAGAGGTCGTTTTGACTGGTGAAAAATATCCAAACAAGATGACGATGTGACATTACGTCGAGTATGCGAGGGAGGGCAAAAAACACGGCCGAAATGAAAAAAAAAATTCGCTGCCTCGCGCACGTATATATTATAACGTCGACGTCGAAATAAAGCTGCTCAGCACAAAAAGGTGAAGGGCTGTACAAAAGGCTGCTGCAGTAGCACGGGGGTGTCAGTGAGGTGGAGATGATGTACCCTTTTTTCGTGTTTCTTTTATCTAATGAGAGACTAACTAAAAACAGAACACACGCGCGCACTCACAATGATAATGATCATTTTATTTTACGCGTTTGTACCTTGCCACACTCTTCGTACTCGCCGTATGTGCACCGGCCTGACTTTAATTACCCGCCCTTCCAGCTCTGCTTGCGCTCGCTCTCACGCTTGACACGGCACGCCGACGCGCACTTCAGCAATGCGAAGACTGCAGGAGACGCTTCAATTGTCAGCAGAAAATTGCGCAGTTGGTGATTTAAAAAATATCAGCCATATTTTAATTTGCTCGCCAACAGAAAACGTTTCTAGATTTTAATTTTACGTAAAACATTAGAAACAAATTATTGAAGAGTCAAATTTACATTGTTATTAATGAATTATGTAAACCCATAGAAAAGTATCAGACATGCGTTATATTTATTATAAAATATGAAAAAGACATGTTTCGAATTTCATATGCAGTGGCAAAACTCTACTGAAGAAGACATTAATTTTTTATATCAAATACAAATGACATCATTACTCTAGTATATTTATTTATTTAAATTTATGAGCTATAGAATAAAAATTAACTTTTTTTATCGAATTCTTGACATAAATTTTTCTGCAAATAAATATGTGTATCTACTGTAATTTTTTTTAAATAAATAAAAATTATTTAAAAAAAGGATTCAATAGTTATAAAGTAAATAAATGAAGAAAGCATAAATTTTATGTCACTTTTTTATTAACATGGAATAAAATAATTAATGTATGTTACTTGTAAAGCCACTTATCATTTCATGTGCGCTCTTTCTAGTGCCAAAATTTTTTCGCTAAAATAAATCAATTTGTATTTATTAAAAAAGTGGTATGCTCATGCACTATAATTTTCATTATTTTTCTTGGTATTATTTTTTTATGAAGATACATTTTGCAAATTTTATGCTTTAATTATTGCATATTTCTCAAAAATTACAATTTATATCAAAATAAAATCTTTCCATAGCTATTTCCGAATTTTTCACACATTCCAATTATTCAAAATGCAACACCTGCTCCTGGGTAGTCAAATATGACGGTTTTTAAACACCCTATAGTGTTGTAGGTCGGCCCGTTTGTTTATCTCCCGCCAGATAATCTGTCGAGAGAAACTCGATTCCGAACAGAAGTTCAGGGATGTATATTTCTGTGAAGGTTTTTTTTGTGTGTGATTCTCTCTGTCGAGACGCTTTTCTCAAGAGGCGCAGTCAATAGAAGTTATAGGGGTTGGACGCGCCACATGTTAGGGGATGCTATCAGAAAGGGCGGGGGGCGGGGGCGAGAGAGACAAGATCGGCGGCTCAAGAAAGAGTATCGGCGCCACTGAAAGAGAGCAGCTGATGGCGACGGCCCGGGCAATTAAACGAGATAATGAGGCAAAAACAATATGGGAAGGCGCTTCCTCCAGATCAGATCAGCGCCGAATATTTCGAGAGAGCAGGAAGTTTTTGCCTCTTTGATCCATGTGTCCCGATCTTGATCATCCAAACACACACACGCTGATAATGAGTTAAAGAAGGAGGATGCGCGCACTTCTGAGATGTCTGGTTGACACATGGCCTCTCTGTGCGCGCCTATCGGCAAATTGTGTATGTGTGTAGTCATTTGAGAGGGTATTTTGGGAGGTGTGTGCGTCTGTTCGATGGGAAAATTCCCGGCTAATCTGCCGAAGGGAAGCCCTAAATCATTCAAATGTGCGCAACTGGGACTCAATTGACGCCGCAGAAACCCAAACCATATTCTCACTACTTAAGAGCAACAACTGCGGAATATCCGTTCTATTTCTTGGAAATTCCACCGCATACATGTGCATGATAAGATTTGTATTTGGATAAAAAAAATCTGTTAGCTCTGACGTATTGAATGATGATAAGAAATTTTCAGGAAATATAAACATTCAAAATATATTTCCTACAATCGTGGATTAAAACTTGGAATTGAGTTTTAAAGCGAGTATTTCATGTAACTGAAATTAAATTAAATCCACCAACAAAATTGAAAGTTGATCTTAATCTTCCTAATTACTTTTACAAATTTCATGAATTAAATATTAATTTAATTTTTTTTTCATTTGCCTGCAATCTTTGTTGTTGAATAACAAATTTGATTTATTTTGTTTATTTTTTTACTTCTGCGCTTTATATTCCAAACAAAATACCAAACAATCAGATGAAGGCAAAATTGGTAATTAATCATCGGCAATGCTATTGATCCGGGAGAAAATCGCAACAAACAAAACAGCGGAAGGGTGGGTCTCTGCCGCAAAAAGAGTAAAATCGCTACTCACTCATTCATTCGCGCCTCGGCAATTAATCACCTCGAAAAGCGGCAGCAGCCAATTGCAAAAAATAATCCCGACTGACTGACTGACTGACTGCTGGCTTTGCGCTGCGAGTGAATGATCTCTCTTGACGGTTTTGTTTGCGTTTGGCGTGTGCGGAATTGACAGAGTATAAACCAAAAATCAGAACAACATATTGCATCATCATCCCCCGGTGGCTGCTCTGGAGCTGTCAGGTGCTTAATTTTCGAAAAACAAATGTGAACGTGGCTCTGTTTATAAATAATATCGTCTGCCAGACTTCAATTTTTCTTCTGCAAGCGTAAAATTTTTTTTCAATGATTACCAATAAAAACAATTTGTTATATGATAAATTTTTATTATTAATACATACATTGTAAACTCAATTATCATATCATTTAGGTTTATTGCTAAAATTATTTTCTATGACGGATTGATGAATGGAACTAAATAAGCAGAAATAATTTAAAGTTCGCACAAAATTAGCTCAAATTAAAAATTCAGTGAGGAGTTCCTAGCCAGGCAAATGAAACGAGGAAAAATTAAATCAAGTTGATGGAGGCCAGCAATTTCAGATTCAAGTGATGCAAAAGGCAGGGTAATTTGAATAAACATTGCATAAAGCAACTCTCGCGTCCATTTGGCGACGAGTTTTGTGTGAAAATACACGCGTGCTCTGCTCTCTCTGCACATCACGGGGCAGTTTTGCCATACTTTTCAATTATTTACAACACGAGACCAACTTCTCTAATGACATTCCGGTGTGCTTGCCGGTCTCGCGACGAATGTTTGTACAGGAGAGAGGAGGGGTATGATTATATTTATTTTAATCACCATTTCATCATATTAGAGTTGACATTAAATTATATTCACCTGCGAGCGCGATAGTACAGAGAGAGAGACACAAACATCGTCAGAATTCATGTGTGTTTGTGCGCCGAGAGCTGGTAATGAAAGAACTTGATTAACACAGAAAATGACTATCCATGCTTATTTTTTTAATAGAATAAAGAATACGCTCGGGCTGCCACAGCGTGAGTGAGAGAGAGGGCCGCTGTTTTTTTATTATGTTGTTTTGTGTGGCAAAAAAAGTATTATACGGAGGGCAGGAGTCGCGCGGGTGTGTGTTTTTAGCACTTGATGTGTGTGTACGGGTATGCGCTCATTTTACACCTTTTCATCACACGTGCAGCGCCGTATATACAGAAAAAAAAATAACAGTTCAGTTCATTTTTTAATTATGATTTGATTTATATGCATGAGCCGGGGAGAAGGGCATTCGCATGCTTCGCGACTCCAGAATTTTTTCATCGAATGGAGAAAAACAATGCTCGCTGAGAGAATAATGAGAAATTACTTTTTCTTCCACTGTTAATTTAATTGCGAAACTATTTATTAATATTTAATATCATCAAAAAACACATTACATGCCAAAAATTGCTTCTCTATACTTGTACTCAATAAATTAAAAAGTCTTGTTTATTAAGATTTTTTAACAATGAATTATAATTTTTTTCATTTTTTACAATTAAAAATTTTGATTCTTATTGGGCTTAAATAAGGTCTTCTGTAATATAATTAATTTTAATAAAATACGGGAAAGTTCCTGATGAAAGAAGTAATTAAGACTGTTTTCAATGAACAAAATTTATTTAGGAAGAGTAAAAATTCCTAAGAATTTAAAGCAATTTAGTGTGTTTATATATGTTTAGTAAGCATTTATATAAATTGGATCTGGGTTTGCATTATTTGCAGAAGTATTTGTTTCAAACAGTACATTATTTTGACTTTGAAAAACAACCTGTCCGTTCGTTATCTCGTTCTCTGGCTCTCTCACTTCAATCTGCAAGGCAAGCTGATTCCTCATAGTGGATTGGTTTAAACTATTTTTAATGTCTAGTTTCATTTTCACTACTACCACAAGTAGTGCTATTACAGTTACAGCAAGTACACATATAATGGCTAGAAAAGTATAATTTGACTTATTAAAATCCTTACGGTCAAAAATGGTATTATTTAAATTGCTTGACAATCGATTAACCTCCTGATTACTTGCATTCAATTGTTCTGCAATAAATATGTTGCTATCTATAAGTTTCAAGAGGTTCAATAAAACCACATTGTATGAAACTCGAGATTTGATTTGTTTAAGAATATTATTCAGACAGCTCCTGTCACATGTAATTTTTTCACCAGAGCAATTTACAACAGCCAAATTATAATCAGACGAGTATTTGTAATAATAATAATAATAATAATAATCATCATCATAATATTCTTCCCTTTTTGATGGTACCGTGGTTTGCTGGCCGTTAATGCAATACATCGACGAATTTGTGCAAGAAGAACTCTCCCTATATTTTTGTGGAACGCAGTCCTTTAAGTATCCTACAAGGATTAAATTAATTACATTGTTGACAACAACATAAAATGTACACCGTTTACAAACCTTGCATATTTAGGTATCCTGTATGTCTTCCAGGCCGTTTATTGCATGTAATATTAATATAATTCAATTGTTTCATCTGCTTGCATTCGCAAATCAAATTTTGGTAACACTCAGTGCAGTCAAAAAGGTAATTGTAGCAATCTTAAAATAAATAGAAAATACAATAAATTGATTATATCCTTGAATAATATCTTAAAATTATTTTTACCTTCCGGAGCTGTTGAGCACAACGTTAAAAATATAATGTTGAAGAGTGCCAGGGCAAAAATTTTGTCCATTGTAAAATCAAATACTAGGCGACTTCAGACTAACTGAAAACTTCTGTATAGCCAAGCTCAAGAAATGTCTCTAAAATGCCTTGTTTTTCTTGACCCATGATTGCGATCTGTGCGCATGGCTACTCTATTATCTTGAATTAATTTCAGGCATTTCCTGGGAGTTGATAGTGAGATGATAAAATTTTTTATTCAAAGGGTATAAGATAAAAAGCAAATTTTTATTACGGCTACAAACTTTTGAGCTGCAGAGCTATATTACGAGTATTAATAAAAACTTATTTTTTTACGAAGTATAATGTTAAATCAATGAAAAAACTAATTACGCTGCTATCCTTTAATTGCAAAATAATCCATTAATATTGGGATATGAATAGAAAAAAATATAATGTTTTATTAGTTCCTGAAGATGTCAATTTTGAAAAATGAATTTTTTTCTGGTAATTTTCGAGCTTCTAATTAAGAGCTTTTTCACACACAACTCTTATTGCAGGTAATGTTTTCACTTCAGAGCAATTTATGGCAGTCGAAGAATAAATTTACGTATATTTATATATAAAAAATGAAGGCGCGGGTGGAGTCGTCGTTTGAGGTAATTACAAAATCCGGCGCGTAGCAACACGCAGCGCAGAGGTGGCAGAGGGCATAATTATTGTTATAACACCCTTAATTATTTTGCTCTCTTCCGCATTAAGTAGCATATTCATGCAATATAATGGGTGATGCAAGAGCGCGGCACATACGTGAGAGGGAGCCCGACTGCCTCCCTGTCTTTTTCCATGCATTCGAGACACCTGTGCGCGTCGTTTTGTCCTCTGTGTTTTTTTTTTTATGATTACACGCGCAAATACAAAACGAGCAGCGGCTGGCTCCTCGTGCGATATTTTTCTTGCACCAACAAACACATCCGCCGAGCAAATCTTTTCATGACATGCCTAATAATGAATTAATTAGAACACGCCGGCTGCCCTTTTCAGCACAGCGACGAAAAAATAAGCAGAGAAGAGAACGAAAGGGTTGCCGTCGCCGCCGCACACACGAACGAATAAAATGTGGATTTTTTAGCTCGAAGGCCCCTCCTCGCCTCTTTCTCTCTCTCTGCGTATTATTTACTATTCAGCCCTTACACTTTCGTAAGAACCACGTATGCGTAAAAATAAGCCACGGTGAAACAACGCGCTCTCCTGTTGCATACTAATGATGCAAATTATCTATGGTGTGGATTGGCGCCGCTGATTTTAACACTCGAAACGGCTGCCAGTCACGTTAGGGTTTTAATCCAAATCGAATTATTCATGAATTGCAGCGCTGCCCAAAATATATTGCTTGCACGGAATCTCATTTTCGGGGAATGGGCACAAAAAACTTAGGTTTGAATTCGACCAGTTATATGAAGATAGATCGCTTTGAGGCATTTTGTAAATTTAATAAAAAAATTAATATAAGAAAATATAATATCATCGACATATTTAAAATATAATAAACAGTACGATTTTTTATAAATTTTATTTTTTATACAAATAATATCAGATATATTTTTTATTCAATAAAATTGCTTTTGTATTTTTAAATGAACAATTTTTTTAAGATTCATCATAGGAAATATTTTTATAATGTAAATTTGATTTAAAATTTTATAAATAAATAATTGTTGGCAATCCCTCAGTATCTTTGACTGCATTGCAATTTAATAATTCTTCATAATAGGGTTGACATCTGTCATGGATTATTTCTCTATATTGTAATTTAAAACATAAATAGCAAAATTAAGTATTATATAGCATACTGAAAAATCCAGATTTCATGCTTATAAAAATAAAAAAATAATTTGCGAATAACATCACAAAATGAGCTGCAGCAATTAAAATCGCAAAAATAATTAAATCTCTCCGGGTCATATCAAAGGCAGAGCAAATTGTCTTTCTTTCTCTACCGGCAGCATTCATTAATTACATCTTGGGCATTATGTCGCTGAGAGAGAGAAATGTGTGAGTAGTAGTGCATTGATATGAGGAAAAAGAGCTGCCGGCAAAAGATTTGAGCTGCTCTGCTAATGAAAATAATTTCCCCGTTCGTCGTCTCTCCTTTTATTTTAAGCGTTGGGGCGGCGTCTCGTTTTTGTGTATAGCAATTTAAAAGGGCCGCGCTTTCTGCGAAAGAAGCGGGCACGACATTCATATTTTGCTCCTTTGGTAATTAACTTAAACCTTTATCAATTGATATCGCCCTCGCTCGTTCTCTCTCAGCACACCCCTTTGAAGGCGACTTGAAAAATGCTCTCGTCGAGCAAAGAGAGAATTCGCCGCCTGCTCTCTTTCACTTCCAATTTACTTTGAGCGCTTTTGCGATATGCTCTCTGCGCGGCTCTTTCTCGCCGTGCTCACTCGGAATTCGTTTTTAATGCGGATTCATTCAATATTTTAATTAATCGCCACCGCCTCTCTGTGTGTGCAATGGCGGCGGTCTACTTACGTTGGAAGGATTTCAGACCGTCAACCACTGCTCAAAAGGCTCTTTCTGTGTAAAACACAATTTTTAAGCTTTATGGGAACTTGCTGGAATTTATGAGGAAAAATTTTCAAAGATTTTTAACTTAATTAAAATTAAAGCTGATGATTATGAATTTTTTAAATACTTTAAATGGGTGTTAAAAAAATGTAAATTAATTATTTAGGCACTTAATAAAAATTCCTATCAATAAATATTTTCAGCAGTTAATTTGTTCATTTAAATTTTCCTTAATCACTAAAATACCGAGAAGTAAAATTGATTATTTTTTAATTCAATGAGAAGTGATGAAACAAAAATTTCAAAAATTTCTCTCCTGCATGACGAGTTGAATATTCGCCAACAAATTTGCATGCAACTATTGTATTTTATCTCATTGTCAAGTTCAATTGTTGGTTTTAAGTGTAGTTTCCATCAGTTTCATAAAAAAATCAATTTTTTCCCTACAAAATATTAGCTTCATTGGCTAATTTGTCGTATGTAGAGAGAATTATTATTATCATTTTTTTCTATCCTTAAATTCTTAATGGAAGCTGAATTTGTTTGAAGATTCATATTAATGTACAAAAGATTGCATTAAAGAATACACTTCATAAACAAACTAAACATTTTATAGCGTGATAAAAATCAATTTTTTGTGTATGATTTGAAGTATTGACTAATTAAATTAATTTGACAAAATAAGAAAAATATAATAAACGAATCTTTAATTGAACTTCGACTTTTTTTTTTATAAAAAAAGATATATTTTGGTATTGAAAGAATTGTAAAAATAATAATCAAATAATCTCATGGATCTGAAAACCGCGTTTGGTCTCTCTGTGCAGTGTTAATTAGAGTTAATTTCCTTTGATTGCGGCCGACGTGATGTGTGTAAATCAAAGCTTCCACTATTCCCCGGTTATCGAGTGTAAAATTCGGCGGCAAAAGGCGCCGCGGGGCCGTGAATTTGGTGCGCGAGCGGCGCGTTTTTGCCGCGGTCGCCTTTGAACTGCGCGCGAATGAATGGCTTGCGGTGTGTGCTGAGGTTTGCACGCGGCAGCCGCTGCACTCACGGGGTCATTGATGCGATTAATGATCGGACGCTTAATTGCCAGCGCCGGATTCGGCGGGAATCAGGCAAGCGCGGCCGCAAACCATCTTTGATTTCCACCCAAGTGCGACGCGCGCGTCTTTTCATGGCCTGCTTGCGAAAAATAAACGCGAATATACACGCACTCGCTCCAATGCATGCACCACATTCGCTGCTGCGAATATTATACCAAAAGCGGCTGAATGAAACCAACTGTGTGGACATTCAGTGCGTTAACCCGTGGTGGCGAGTGTGTTGCGTTATACTATTTTAACCAACACTAAATTTGGTTTTGAGCATAAAAAGCAAAAAAATAATTATTTAATAATAATAAAAAATATTATAATAAATAAATAAGTTCTGAAAAGAATTTAATTTTTAATTTCACATAGAATATATCTTGGTAATAACATGAAAGTTCAAATTGATCAAAACTCTCAACTTAATTTTTTTTTTTTTTAGAGTGAGAGAATATTTGTTGAGGTTCTTTGTTTTAGCATTTAGAAAAGTGTCAGGTCAGGGAGCTTACATAATCAATAGTCTCTTAGCATTTAATTAAACTTTATAAAAATAATTGTCAAAAATGGCTCGTATTGTTGCAAATGCAAATAATTGATTTGAATAATTATGCTGTTTACGAGTCCTTAAATACCACACCTTGTTCACTTATCTGATTTCTTTTATTGCTAAAATTTATTGATATAAAAATAAATTTCAAACGCCGTGACCAATAAAATGGAAATTGACAATGAATTGGAAATTGAATGAGTGCAAAATGTAAGTATGATACTCTGATTATGTATAAAACAACGAAATTGAATAGGTAAGCATGGAAAATAAAATATAAATGGAAATGGAACCATTCTATCTGTAATTCAGAGTTGGTTCAGAAAAGGTGCAGAACTGGGGTGGAACTGATTCAGAACAGCTGAAACGGTTCTGCACCATTTCTGTACTTTTTTTGCACAAAATCTGCATTAATTCAAAATTTGTAAAATTTCGATTTGAAAAGCTTTATCCTGATTTTTATCAATGAAGAAAAAACTTCCGAAAAAAACATATAATTATTGATGGTTTTAAAATTGAACTAATTAAGCCGCATCATTAATTGCTGATCAATTCAATCGCTCCTGAACCGTTGCATTAGTACGGAGGGTCATGAACAAGCCATTAGTCAATTAGGATCGTGATTCCGCAATCAAATCGCGCTAGGCTTTGCACGGCTGTTCCCTCGTGGCCGTTTGCTAAATCACCGATACGTTCGGCAGTGAGAATAAAGCGATCGCATGCAAATGAGGCTGCGAAAATGTAGTGGCCGGTCGGCGGCGGCGGCGGCGGGTAATCGCCCTTTCGGACGAGACAGCAATGCGGTGGGGTGGCATAGAGTAATGAGACTGGTCGGCCAGCAATAATAACTGCAGCTGATCGCCAGGTATTGTCCGCCTGAGTTATGGCTCTGGTAACACCTGTCACGCTCACGTCAACCGATTGAT